TCATGTATGTGTATTGCGATCTCGTAGAACCTCAAATTGTGGGAGATGTACAAGCCCCGTTGTTAAAAATTGTCACCGTAGAAGGAAATGACGGAGACATCATAAACGCTCATTACCCCCGGCCCTTTTACTTGCCAGTTATCCGTCAACATTTTCAGACTATACATATTGACATAAGACTTCACTCTGGAGATTTAGTACCATTCGAAAGAGGCAAAGTATTTCTTGTGTTGCATTTTCGTCTGAGACAAATTCTATAAAAGAAGCCTTCATTTGCAAATTGATTTCATTTGGATTGTGTATGCAAGATTAGAAGCATCAAACATGCGGGTGCCTTATACGTGTTGCACGAAAAAATTTGAAGATTATTATTTAGCTCAAACTGGAAATGGATTACCTTACTATCAAGGAACCATTTTACAGAAAGGTTATGGTATTGGTGGATTTTTTGCAAAGCTGTTTCGCAGTGCTATGCCTTTTTTGATGAGTGGAGCCAAAACAGTCGGAAAAGAAGCCTTGCGGACTGGAACACAAATTGCAAACGACGTATTGTCGGGAGAAAATTTTAAAGTCTCCCTCAAAACCAGATCTAAAGAAGCTGGCAAAAAATTAGCGAGGAAAGCAGTTCAGAAAGCAGATGAGATGATTGGTCACGGAAGGTTTAAAAGGAAGCGCAAAACCCCCAAACACTTCATTTCGTCTAAAGCCAGGAAGGTGCAACGACGTGATATTTTTGACTCGTAATGGCTTTTCTGTTAAAAGATTCTCCGGAATGCGCAAAATCCGAATTGGATTTATTTTCGTTACCTCCCACACAAACAGTTATCGAAAAAGGTCAGTGGGTTGAATTTCATCCATTAGCCAATGTATCGGAAGGAAGTCCTGTCGAGTTCAATGTTTCTGGAAGCGGAGACGACTACCTAGACTTATCACAGACACAACTCTACGTCAAAGTGAAAATTTTAAAAAATGATGGCAAGCCAATCACGGCTGAAAGTAAAGTGGGACCTGTCAATCTCTTTTTACATTCTATGTTTTCTCAAGTGGATATTAGCTTAAATGAAAGACTCGTTTCCACCAGTAATAACACGTATCCTTACAGAGCCATGATAGAAAAATTATTGAATCATGGTTTTGATACGAAAACGTCTCAACTGTCATCAGAATTGTTTTTCAAAGATACAGCAGGACGTATGAACGTTTTTGATATTCAAGACACTCAGCCAGCAATGAAGGCATTCAACCAACGAGCAGAATTGTTTAAACTGAGTGCTTCGGTCGATATGATTGGCCGATTGCACTTGGATATGTTTCATCAGGAAAGACTTTTGCTGAATATGGTGGATATGAAAATTAAACTCATACGCAGCAAACCTGAATTTTGTTTATTGGGCGATTGGGCGAAGGTGAATTTAAAGTTTTACTCGAACAAGCTTCATTGTTTGTACGCAAAGTGAGAGTCAGCCCAGGTGTTGTGCTAGGACATGCCAAAAGCCTAGAAAAATCAACAGCCAAATATCCCATTAATAGAGTGCTCTGCAAAGCCTATTCCATTCCAACGGGAAATATGAGTTTTATTCAAGACAATATTTTCATAGGTCAAATGCCTAATCGTATTGTGGTGGCATGTGTCGATAATGATGCCTTTAACGGAAACTATAAAAAGTCTCCTTTTGAATTCAAGCATTATAATATGAACTTTATCGGCGTTTATGTGGACGGGCAACCGGTACCTCATAATCCTCTTCAGCCTAATTTTGACAAAAATCATTTCATACGAGCTTATCAGAATTTATTTATGAATGCAGACGACAGAGGACTTTACCTTTCAAGATCAGAATTTTCAAAAGGATATTCCTTATTTCGCTTCGACCTGTCACCTGACCTTTGTGATGGCTCTCATTTAAATCTAGTTCGACACAGCAACTTAAGATTAGAAATAAAATTTGGGACTCCCTTACAACAAACTGTTTCGTTATTAGTGTACGCTGAATTTGAAAATTTGATAGAAATCAATAAAGCTCGAAATATTCTGTACGATTTTGGAAACTGATGAATTCATCACAGATTCATCAAATCTTATCTCGAGATCCTATTTCTTTGAGATATTATGCGGGTGTTTTTCCTTGTGATAAAATACCTGCGATTCAAAGTTTTCCCTGTGCACTGGTGCTCAATACGGATAAACATGATGAAAAAGGAACTCATTGGCTAGCTGTCTACATTGCAGACAAACAGACTCTGGAATTTTTTGACTCTTATGGACTCCCGCCTGAAGTATATGGAAAAGATATCACATCCTTTGTCAAGAAATATCGTCATGTTTGCTGGAACAAGATTTCGCTTCAGAGTTTAACTTCTAATGTATGTGGACATTATTGTATTTATTTTATTATTAAACGCTGTCAAGGACTCTGTATGGAACTCATTGTATCACCCTTAGATGGGAAGAATCATGATTTCCAAATATTTCAATTTGTCAAAAAAAGATATGGTGTAAACATGATTTTTAAAAAATAAAGTTGTTTTAATTTGTAAAAAAAATGTCTCTTGTGTTTCTTGTTTCTACACTTATTTAAACAAAATGAATAAATGTCTTATGCAAAAGGATTTTCGGTAAAGTATAAAAGTCAGTGTTTTCTTAACATGCTGTCATTTCCAAAAATGGAACTGCCCAAGTTCGTACATCCTTCTACTTGTCTTCTGAGCGGAGCGGACCTACCGGTTCGGGAAAAACGGTTTTTGTGAAGAAATTGATAGATCATAAAATGTTCCATCCCATGCCGACCAATATTATTTATTGCTACGGAAGTTATCAACCTCTTTTTAATTCCATGAAAAAAACGTAAATTTTGAAGAAGGATTACCATCTAACCTGCAGACTCTTCAAAATGCTTTAATTATCATAGACGATTTAATGTCTGAATTAGCAAGTGATACTCGCTTAAGCAAACTTTTTACAAAAGGAAGTCATCACCGAAACCTTTCAGTCGTTTTTATAACACAAAATCTTTTTCACCAAGGCAAGGAGATGAGAAATATTCATTTAAATTCCCATTACCTTGTCCTATACAAAAATCCTAGAGATAAAAGTCAAATTATGCATTTAGCTAGACAAATGTTCCCCGGAAAAGTAAAGGCCTTTCAAGAAATTTTTCAGGATGCTACTTCAACTCCATTTAGCTACTTGTTGATTGATTTACGACCTGAAACAAGTGAAACGCTTCGCCTTCGTACAGGCATCTTTCCTGGGGATAAATACTATGTCTACCAGCCCCCGATAGTTCATTTCAGTTTGAGACGTCGAATGGCTAACATGTCTTTCTCCCATCGTGATCGATTTCGAAGGTTTTCAGTGGATGCCTCATTATTACATTGTTAAAGAATTAGCTTTTTACTCCGTGCATGAAGGATATCACAGTTGCTGGTCATTTTTACCTCCTCAGCCTTGGAAAACATTATCACGATCTCAGCAAAAGTGTTTTGCTTGGGTCACAAGAAATCGTCATCACATGAATTGGAAGTGAGGGTGTTTTACCTTATACTCATCTTCGTATTATTTTGCAATATTTGTCATCTATTTATTCTGTCATATACGTGAAAGGATTAGAAAAGAAATTATTTTTAGAAAATTTATTAGGTAGAGACATCATAAATCTAGACTGTCCTAAGATAGAGAATTTAAAAAAGAAAAGTTCTTTAACATGTTCGATTCATGCAAAAGGATTTAATTGCTGTGCTTTAACCAAAGCGGCTGCATTTGCTACCTATATAAAAGAAAGTGTGCAAGGAAAAGAGCTCATTTGTCATCAGCATGTCTCATCTGAAGGATGTGGATTATCTAAAACTATTAGGAAAAAGTCGAATAAAAGCAGCTGTACTGAAAAAGTGTCCGAATCATCTCATCAAATCAGTTTGTGAGTGTGTTTTAAATCTTCTAAAAGGAAACGTACCCATCACCAAACGCGTCAAAAATCGACTCGCCCCTTTTAAAAGAACTTTAAGAAAACTAGCGGACAAAAAAGTACCTCTTTTTAAGAAAAGACGTCTTTTGGTTCAAAAAGGTGACGGTTTCCTATCTTTCCTGATTCCTGCAGCAGTCAGTGTCTTATCCTCCCTTATCCATGGAACACAGTAAGAAATTTGCCCTGGTACCCCTGGACCGTATGCAGCAATTTGAAGATGAACATTTGAGTGATTTAGATACACAAATTCAAAACATTTTAAAAAAGAAAATGAACGATGAAGAAAAGTCTAAATTGTACATCCAAGTTCTGCAAAAGTATGTTACGTTTCCTCATGTGAACACTTCCGAAGAACAACCGCCTGAACAACTTTCTGAGAAAGATATAGAAAAGGAAATTATGCAAACAGTTCCTGTGAAACAGAGAAGAACGGCACAGAAAATAATAGATTTTCTCTAAAAGAAGCATCAGATTTCCTGGACACAGAATAAAGAACTCATTCTGGATGGTCATGTGTTTTCTGGTCTCTGACATTGTTCAAGTTGATAAACTTTCTGTTGAGAAATAGAACTCAAAAACCTTTTGCCTTTGAACAGTTTAAAAATGTACTGAATGTTAACAACTTTCCTCAAGACTTTGTGAAAAACAAACATTTAATGAATGTAAAAACTATGTATGCTAGACCTAAAAGAAATCGCATCTTCCAAACTATATGGCTGAAATTGTAATGAAACGTCATAATAAATGTAATGGCTGATCATTGGTGTTGTATTTCTTTCTAATTAAGTTAACATAAATATCAATTTTCAATATTCAAAAATTATTTATTTATTGTAATAATCAAATATACATAATTTTTGAAAATAAAAATATGACAATTATTTTCTAGGAAAAACTTACCTTTCATGAAATCCTTTCAAATAAGAAAAAAACACAATTTTTTTTTTATCATTCAAACTTCTTTTTATTTTTTTTTCTAAATAAGTTTTCTTTTATACACATACAAATGCATGATTCTGCACACACACACACACACACACACACATATATATATATATATACATACAAAATTTCATTTTCAGATAAGGTTCTAACATAAACATAAAAAGTTCTTCTTCAATATACTAATGACCATACGGCAATGTGCTCAAGTCTTTTTGAATTACCCGTTTGTCTAATACAATTCTGTACAGTTTTGTTTCCGGTTTATTCACCACCTTTCTTCTCTTCGCTTCTCGGGTGATTTTGGAGGGGTTGTGGAGAGAGATGATCTCACTTCGGTCGAGGCTGCAGACCAGACTTTTAATGGCTTCAAAATTCAGCAACTGAGAATTGCGAAAGTTCAAGGAAAATCCTCGGACTTTGCAACAAGTTTTCCCACTGGCCGTCTGGTATGCGTAGTTTTTCGGTCCTCCTGAAAAAATAAAACATCATGAGAAAAAGAGATAATAATAAAAAAACATGCATTAAACATTTTTGGTACACATTAAATAAAGAACTTTTTAAAGGTCCTTACCAGAGACGAAGGTTTTGATGACATCTCCATCCAGTTCATCCGTAAACTCTCCAAGAAAATTTCCTAACGGGGGATCATTTCTTCCATTTGAGGCATATATTATGGAGTCTGTGTCGTGATACAGGACGTCCCTACCCAATTTTTCCATTTCACTATACAGCTTGAGACGAGCCCAAGCTGTTGTGAACGTCGCTAGGAAAATGTTGGTCGAGGCATCCTGCGGCACAAACTCTTTCGCAGACTCCCAGGAAATGGCAGCCACCTCAGGCGTGGGCAGAAAGACATCTTTGATCTGAAAATAGAAGAGTCATGAGTTAACAGTTCAAAATAGTTATGAGTTAACAGTTTGAAACACATTGAGTTTATAGATGAATAAAATCGATAAGGAAAACTTACTTTTTTAGTAGGATCCGCCAACATCTTATTAAAGTCTGGCACCGTATGGACATAGGTCAGTTGGCTTTGTTGACGTTCATACCCCATCTGAAAAAAAAATTCAACATAAATCACAAAGAATTAAAAATGTTTACAAAAAATTTAAGTCCAAAAGAAATCATCTTACCTGCCCCAGAAACTGTTCAGGGCCAACTTGGCAACTTGTCGACGCCCAGGGTTCTTGGAAATCTTTTCAGCTTCCAACTTGACGCCCTCTCTTTCTTCATACTGGCGAATGTACTTCAGTCTGGCTTCTTCCGTCACACACTCCGAAGGCCATCCGCTACTTTCCTGCTTGATCTTCAGAAACAGATCAATGTATGATCTGAACAGAGAAGTAGACGATGCCTGGAAATGGTACACTTCGTAAATCTAGAAAATAAAAAATAAATGTCAGTTATAAAAAATTTTTAAAAGTAACCTCTGAAACTAAATAAAGATTAAAATAATCTTTGAGTACTTACATGTGTGACGCGGTGGTAACCTTTCTTTTTCGCCAGTTTGACTTTCTCCGTTACCCACGTTCCGACAAGAGCTCGCTCGTCGTCTGTGTGGGTACACGGAGTCTGCAGTTGAAGAAGGGCGCAAGTCCGACACAGGGGGAACATCAGCTTCTTCCGGCACCGATAGGGCAGTACCGGAAGATACAGATTCCGTGGAGGAATCACTCGGCATTGGATAATTCCAAAATAATCTTCCACATCTCTAAAGCTTTCCGTGATGATTGTTGGATGTCCCACAGGGTAGACGCAATATTTGTTCACCTGTGAAATAAAACAAAAAGTCAAAAAAATACATAAAAATACAGAAAAAAAACACATCATCCATGAAAAGGTTTTTTAAAATAATAAAAAAGTACGAACCCATGGATAGAGGATGTGAAATCCACATATTTAGCGTCTCCCTCGTGGAACAATTTGAGGGCATTGGTCCGTCCTCCGAAAAAATGACTCGCGAGGATTGAGCCGGATCCCTCAGATGGTGTTGCTCCAGGAAAGCTTGGAGATCGGATTTTCCTCTTTTTCTCTCTGAAACTCATGCTCCCACATTTCTATGACGTGGAAACCCTGGGTGCGAAGCTTTCGTGTGGTCTCTTCCGTTTTCTCTCGCAACGTTGCCATGGAAACCCTTTTAGTGGATGAATGACATCACCGTCATAACAGGAACTACACCCGTGGAAGAAATGGAAGAAACAGCCCTAAAATAATACAAAATATATTAATAGTGTTCCACATGTAAATTAAACATTAAAAGTGTAAAATCATTAAAAAGAATCATATAGAAATATAATTTACTTTTTACATACCTGAAACTGATAGACGGTTTGTGTTTGCTTGGCAGAAACCATCTACCGAGATTCCGGCGATTCTGTGCTCTCCGGCTAACCGTTCAACGCATGTTGAATGGCAATGCCTTCCGAAGCAGCAACAAAGTCCAACCACCGGATCGAATCAGGGCTGTAATTCGTTGAGTTGACGTAGCCGTGTGTGGGCACCATGGCAATCGTGTTGGGCTGAATGTGGCCACTCCGATACGTTGCCATACAGGCTGACGCAATGGTCACGTATCTGAAAAGAAATTAAAAGGATGGTATGAGACACTAAAACATAACATAATGTAAACATGATTATTGTAAAAGAATGAGAAAATAACTTACTGGAATGGATCCACATTCGCCACATCCAAAAACTGGGCTCGAAACTCCAGGCAACAGCGGCGAAGAATATCCACGTCCGATCTATGAATAAAAAAGAAAATGTTAAATATACGAAACATAAAAATATAAAATTAAACAAGAAAAAAGGAAAAAAAATATACCTGCAATAGGCCAGCATCTCATCTTGAAAAGTTAAACACATCCCCCTTGTGTTTTCTCATGCCAGGACAGAAATGCTTGTCGGGCTGAAGTGCTCATGGTATCCGGGCTGTAGTAGTGGGGGCTCAGGCAGCGGTCCGACATAACTCTGGTTTTCCCTCGAGTTGAAAGAGATGAGGGAAGTATCCTTTCTTTAACTCGCTGAGACCGAAGCACCCCGGTAGTTTGGCCAACGCCATCGGTAAAAAGTTTAACGAGTCTATGACCCGAATGTTGAGACTCGGGTGTCTTACACTCATGATCATAGACCCGTTAGGGATCACCTCCGGCGCTGTGCCTTGCTCCAGGAGCCAGGCCATCACGAACTGTCCGTCAAACCTGTAAGTAAAAAAAACATGAATAATATTGAAAAAATAGTCGTACTTAAAAAGCATGCAAACTATGGTATTTTTAACTTACCCTTTCATGTTGTGTGCCACGGCGGTGAAGCCCTTGTGCTGTGTAGGTGAACAGCCAGGCGCAGAAATCTTGGCATGCCGTGTAGCCCGGAAACACTTTTCTGTGCCGTCGGCATACTGAGCCACCGCGGAATTTACGAGATGCTCCCCCGAAGACTGGTCCATTTCAAAGTCAAAGAAAATGAACTTGTCATCAGACTTCTTCGGAGGAACACGTCGCAAATAACAACGGTGCTCAGCAGCCACGACAAACTGGCCGCAGGACGGACACTTGGTGGTTCCACATCTGTGAAGCTCTTTAGGGCAATCCCGCCTCCGGATCACTTGGCAGCATTCTCTGCACTGGTATACCTATAACGAAAATTTCAAAATATTTAAACATTTGATAGATAAGCATTTAAATTATTTAAACGAGAAATTTGCATATATATTGATTTAGATGAATAATTTCAGAATACTTACCTCTATCGCAAAGCGAAAATTCTTGATTTCCAGTCAGGGCTTTGTGTGCTTCAAAGCAGGCATGGGATCGGCAAAGGCGATCACAATTCTGGCATCGTTGGGGCTGGCCCGGAAAGCAGTCGGTCCTCAAGCATATGGGACAGGCATTGGCACATCTATGACTTTCAGGCATTTGGTAGGCCTTTTCACAGGTTGTGCAATAATGGTTGCTGCCGAAAAATCCTTTCAGAGATTTGATGACGTCGTAATGTCCATCGTGGAGCCACAAATTGATCCGTTGAGGCCTCTCTTTGCCTTTATAGACCACCTAAAACATAGACAAACATTTTCTCTTAAAAGTAATCTTGAACTATTTATAAATCCATTTTTAACATCTAAAAATTACCTGCACATTTAATTTTTCCAAGTTAATTATACTCGTACATGGAAATGAATTGCATGCATAAAATACAAATTTAACCGAAAATAAAAAATTTTTACAAGTTATATTTTTAACATCTAAACGAACTGCAGAAAGTAAGTTTAAAATTTGTCAAAATAAAAACCTTTTTCCAAGTTATATTTTTAACGTCTAAATAAATTGCATGCATAAAATAAAAATAATTTGAAAAGTAATCTAAAAATAAAAATTCACCATGCATGTAAATTTACAAGTTATACATGGAAACGAATTGCATGCATAAAAATACAAATTTAAAATATTAAAATTATTTTACGAGATATATTTTTTAACATTTTGTAAATGAATTGCATAAATAAAGTTTAAAATTTTTATCAAAAATTAAAACATTTTACAAGTTATATTTTTTAAGGTGGAAATGAAAAAGTCATCATGCCAGAAACTTTAAAATAATTCAAAAATCGAACAATTTAGAAATCAATTTTTAGCCGTTATATTTTTAACATGGAAAAACAATATGCATGAACAAATATTAATCTTAAAATTTAAAGTAAAATAAATTTTCAGCCTGCATTCAGTTTTGTCAAGCTATATTTTTCAACGCATAAACAAAATGAAAGTATCACCAATAAATACATAAACTTTAATACAAAAGTGTTTAAGATTAATTTTAAAAATCATACCAAAATAAATTTTTTTTCATTCACAATTTGACAAATAAACAAAATGGAACTAAAATCAAATTACGATTTTAAAATAAATAAATATGTAGAAAAAAATTCAGGTAGGTAATTTCAAAGCTAATATTTACAAGCAGAAATATCTTGAGACAAAAATTGACTTACCCTATTCAAATTTTCCGAAGAGAACACTGCAATTTGTGTGTCCAAGTGCTCTTCAAATATGGCAATTTCTACAAAAGTGCAAGGGCCTAAAGATACATTCGCATCCAAATGAAGTTCCCTTGCGCGGTTCATCAGAGTTGGATTACGCCGATCTCTCAATGCATTAATGGCCCTCGTGTCCTTGTTCAAATGCGCCAAGGCATAAACAATAGCTTTGGCACAGCACAGTCCTTCCTCGTCGTATGGAATAGACAGAATGGACTGTTTCCTTAATCTGTCCATGGAGATGTTGACTACTTTCCTATTTCGTCCGGCACCCACAGGTCGTCTGATGGTGATAACGTCCAACTGCAGAATCCCGTATCCAGCTCAATTTTGTCTTTAGACTGCAACACTTTCATCACGGCAGCCAGAATCTTTTCAACTGTTAAAGTCGAAACTGCCATCAGGGACGTGCTAATCGGCTTATCCAACCCTTCTGCTTGGATACAAGAATCGGATGAGGTCTGATGGGCCCAAGATTTGCTGTTGTCCGGCGAATGAGCTGCTCAAAACAATTCCCGGACGGTGTCAGGAATTCGGACCATCGGGATGCCCTTGTACGTTCTGAGGCAAGCCGTTCCATATCTATACTGGCCCGGAAAGGTAATTCTCCTCGGCCTGATATTTATGGTTCCGTCGACGAGACTTCTCTGTGAGTACAATCGCCTCATCGATCTGGAAAAAAAAATAAGTTTCAGTAATAATTAAACATTTTCAAAATACATTATTTTAATAAATCATGCAAGAAAAGAAAAATATATACCGATCGTTCATTCGAAGCAGCCATATACACAGGGCCATGAGCTGATGAGGAAGAAGTCTAAAAATAAATACATTAATTTTAGTACTAAGAAAAAAGTATTCTAGCAGAATCTAAAAATGCTGAAATACTTAAATAAAGATATACTTAAATATTTACCTCAAATCCGGAACCCACTTGATAATACAAGGGTAGATCCATAGGATTTTCCAGAAAAATCTGATCCACTTCATCGATTAACTATCAAAATAAAATAAAATACGTTTAAAATACATTCAATAGTAATAAAATACGTTAAATAAAAAAGTGCGTTAAAAATACGTGTACAAACTTACATCGTCATCTGAGTCCCGAAAAGGAAAGTCAGGATCTTCAAACAGGACCTAACAATTAAAAATTTAAATAAATAAAACATTCAAAAAGAAATAAAATTCGTGTTTAAAATAGTAATCTAGATATTAAGTACAAGCGAAAAAATACTTACATTAGATGCAGAATAAGTTCGTTTAGCAGACATCGTGTACAAGAAAACGAAATGGCGCAGGAAAATGACAGTCAAAATGACGTTCACTCAGCAAGAATCAGAGTAGAAATGATGAAATCGTGAAAGCGAGCGAATTTATAGGCGATGTATAAGAAACAAACACGCTGATTGGCTGAACATAAGATAGAAAATATTAGTGAGAAGCTGATTGGTGTTAAGATTGTATACGTTCGCCACGGCGGATGTAGAAAGCGTGAAGCGGTTTCGACAGGCTGCAACGTGAAAGAGATGACGTTTGCCTGTTTTCCCCCCCCCCAGCCTATTGACGTCATGGTGATTTTCGCTCCAAACGGAAAAATAACAGGTTTGATAACATGAAGGGCTTAGCTGAGCGGTAAAGCGCTAGACTCCCATCCCAGAGATGGCGAGTTCGAATCTCAGCCGTGGAGTTACTTTTAAAATTCAGGGAAAATAATATTAAATTCATTAAAAAGTATTAAAAATATAATGTAATCAATTAAAACTAATTAAAAATAATGACGGATTAAATAATTAAAAAGGATGATTCACAATTAAATAACGAAACATATTTAAAAATAATGAATAAAAATGATTAAACACTTAAAATAATAAATTAAAACGTATATCACAAAGAATAAAAACGAAACTTTGATGATGTCATTCCATGACGTGATACAAAATGGCGCTGGTGTCGTCACTTCCAGAGAAATCCAAGATGGCGGAGACGGCACATCAAAGGAACGCCCCCCATTGCGACATCTATTGTTCTCTTACGTCATCTATTGTTATATTACGTCATGGCGGCATCCTTTGACCGCACGGTTACCTCCGCTTACTACTAACGCATTCTAAATCTTCTCGTTGTTCTGTATCTGCTTACTCCAACTGCCTTCAGTGAGTGAATTTGCATCCTGTGAACTCCTATTTAGACGCCTCTAAATTGAGGATAAATCATCGTAGAAATGCCGAATTTATGCTTATTTTGTTCCTGAATATATGCTCTACAAGAAGACATCAAAAGTTTGGATAAATCATTTAGAAAATATCAAAAGCAACTAAAATGTTAATGGTGAATATAGTGTTCCTGAAATAGTGTCTCTGTGGTCTGTAGTGGTATGTGGAATATAGTATTCGTGAAATGTCTTTCGTGTGGAAATCGTGAAATGTCTGCCTCTGCGGAAATAGTGTCATGTGTTTCCAATCGCTGTGGTTCCAGCGGTGCAATATTTGGATACACTTGGATCTTTAGCGATTCGGTTATAACGTTCCTAAGTGCTATATTGCGTATATCATATAATCATTATTAATCGATTATTGTAAAAAGTTCGTGCTTTCAGAATTAATTCATGTAAAACCAAAAATAACATACAACGGTAAGGCATTTTCTGGTTTTGTTGAAAATGCAATCAATACAGAAGCAACAACAATTCAAGCTGTTATGGTACGCTCATTATTTTCAAAATTCAAAGGAATTATTGGACTGGTACCAGTACTTAATATGACTGCTAAAAATGAATTAGATATGTGTATAATACAAGCAATTAATTAATTATTGAAATTAATAATAATGCACATTCTATAGTATATTGTCTTATGTAAAGTATGGAGAAAAGGTTAATGATTTTAAACAGTGTATGAAATGTATGATCGAAAAACTAGTGTTAAGGAAGCATTAGCATTTCCATGAAATATTGTAATCTATAATTATGTGACATTTAATTGTGTAATATTAAAAAACACTAAATATTTTTTATTGATTGCAAATTGCAGCTTTATTACTTTTCATTTGGTATCTATTCTTCCAAACACTGTGTAATTCGCGTTTTTTTAAATATTGTCGTTATGTATGTTTGTTAGATTATGTACTTTTGATAACAAAGAAATTCATAATAAATAGAAACAAAAAGTTTCATCGTGTGCTATTTAATGAAAAGTTTAACGTACTTAGCTTACTATCATATTCTATATTATTTAAATCATTTCTGTACAGTAACAAAAGGAAAGTTATTGATTATAAAAAGTGCATGAAGTGCATTGTAATCTACCACTATTCTAAAATGTAGAAAATAAAAATAAGTAAATACATTAACATATGATCGAAAGAAAAGGTGATAAGAAACATCAGCATTACTAGTAAATACTGCAATCCATAATTATTGCACTTTTAACTGCTTACTATTTAAAAAACACAAATATTTTTTATTAATTGGAAATTTTAGTTTCGTTACCTTCCTTCTGCTATTTATATTTTCAAACACCACTAGTTCATGTTTTTTCTTAAATAGTGTTGTCACGTATGTTGTTTGCTAGGTTATTATTTCATATTAGATATAAATATGGAAGTTAGTATTAGATTTAGGTATATTTTTGTATAAAATATTTTTGATCACATTTATTAACTACTTTATACTGTCTTTCATTTGCATATCTTGGAGATATAGAAATTAATGGTTATATTTTTTACTGTGAAACGCGAACAAATATATATTTGACTTCAGGTAAATTACTAATTATGCTACCTTAAGAACCACTTAATAATTTTTCATGGCAGGGGCAATTTTCAATGTTTCTGAGATTTAACAGAAATAAATGTGGTAATGTTGTTATCAGAAACGCTCTTTTGCTTTTACCCACATATATATCTTTACTTTTATTTATGTCTAATTGAGTTTTATTTACTTAAAACCTACAATTAATGTGATATATTTATAATAACCACTTTCATAATTACTCTCGCTTAAGAAAATGTTGAAATCTTAAATAATCGTAACATAGAATTTAAGTTATTTAAAAATATAGTACTGAAAATAATTAAGGCTATTATTAATTACGCATATTTAGTCTAAGAAATTTTAAAACTATAGTTTAAAGTACTGAAAATAATTAAAGCTATTATTAATTATGCATATTTAGTCTAAAGAGAATAATTGTATTATTTTCTAGTTTTCAGGAAATGATAAAATGTTTAAACTTAAATACAAGGAATACAAAATTTTAAAAAAGATCAAAAATATATTAATTATTAAGCTTATTTTTCTGCATAAATCAATATGTCACACAAGGCAAAATAACGACATTTTCACAACTGTTGAAAAAGGTGGAATTTTATGAACATTTAGGCGTCTTTAATAAGACGTCGAGATACGATGCTTAACCACAAAAATATCATCTGCGAAAGACGCAATAACGATGTCTATGCGACAAAAACCTCAACTGCAAAGACGTAATAAAGACGTCTTTGCAAAGGTTGCAAAATAGTGGAGTTTCGCGGACATCTGGGCGTCTTAAAGACAACATATTGCAACGTTTTTGCAACGACATCCACGAGGAATTTACAGCGTCTTTACGACGTTGCTGCGCTGCTTGGGAGGTTAATGACTTCACAGTTTAACTAGCGCGCAAGCTAGCTCTGACCGAAGTCGGCATGAACAAGCCTAATAAGTTAGCAGCGTGGCATGCAAGCAGGCAGAACAAGCTCTGATTTCACCTTCAAGAATCTTCCTTTAAGTACATCCTTCTTTCTATGTAATTTGAATATCGCGCGCCCTGCAAATTATCATTCTGGAAGGAAAATGAAGTGAGAGTTGTTAGAAAAGTAATTTAACTTAAAACAACGATTTAAGAAATTAAAATAACCTTACAAGCTGATATGTTAATTTTGACATGAGCCTATGAGTCGCCGTGGAGCACGATTTATGCATTTTATTACTCGTTACTGCCTTACGAGTTATAATTAGACAGTGTCTTAGTTTTGTTTTTAATTTAGATTTCCATTTCGTAGTAAGGTTTTTTTTTATTTTATAGTGTCAAGGCATGCGAGAGATACCTGAAGGAAGGAATATCTTTGCGGATACCTTTCTAGGAGAATTATTTCATATTCACATTACAGATGGGAAAACTCATTCAAAGGCCCATGCAATCAGAATACAGGCCGTTTACCAGAATTTATGTCTATGTAGTGTTCAGTGGTCTTATCCACTCGATTGCCAGTAGGCAATTTCGTAATAAG